GTTTCTCCCCATTTTGGATGGTTAGAGAAAGATTTAGAATTGTTGTTATAGTAGAGTTTTATTATGCACTTGAGTTGTTTGATGAAATGTCTAATAGAGGTTTGAGTATGAGTAGTGAACCTTAATTCTTGCAACATTGCATAGCCATTAGAAATGGGTTGATGCTTGAGAATCATGAGAACCTTAATTCGAAGCATGAGAATCGGGTTGATGCTTTGTGATCACCACCCGAATAGCCATTAGAAATGGGTTGATGCTTTGTGACTATCACCCGATAGTTAGTAGAAACGGGTGGATGCTTTGTGATCATCACCCGGTTAGTTATGAAAACAGGGTGGATGCTTTGTGATCATCACCCGACAATTATTAGAAGTGGGTTGATGCTTTGTGATCATCACCCGACAGTGATTAGGAACGGGTTAATGCTTGGTGATCGTTACCCGAAAGTCATGAGAAGCGGGTAGGTGCTATGTGGTCTCCACCCGATAGTTAAAAAAACCGGGTAGGTGCTTCGTGATCCCCACTTGGTAGTCACTAAGAACGGATTGGTGCTGTGTGAATTCCACCCGATAGTCATGAAGAGTGAGATGGTACTGTGTGAACGCCATCCGGCTGTACCTCCGGTAAGATGAGGCCATGACGTTTAGTAGGAAACAGCAGAAAGTGTGATGAAAGAATTAAGAGTAATACATACGGGGATAGACAGATAGAGGGTTTTACTTATTGAGCATTATTTTGTGCTCACCCCGTTATTTTCCTTTGTGGATGCAGGATCTAGGTGATGATGCAGTTGGAGGGGTGTCGGCAAGCAAGGAGCAATAGCTACACTGTTTCCCCTGTTTTGTCTTTTAAAATGGCATTTTTGTAAATGACGTTCTTTGTGTATAAAAGAAGTATGACTTATAATAAAAGGAAAAGTTTTGGGCCCATTTTCTATTGTTATTATGCATGCATTGTACTAGTTTACAGCAGTTGTTACAGTTCATTTATTGTCCATTCGTCCGCTCTGGAAGGACGAATGAGCGAAGCCTCCTTTTTTACCTACGGAGGGCTCGGGCCGGACCGTTCCAAGCTGGTCAGCCGGTCGGGAAGGCAGGACGACAGGATGGCTTCTGCTGTAGTTTCCCAGGTTGCCTGAATCCCTGCCACGTGTACGGTGGTGGTCCGGAATTGAGAAGACAACTAAACAAAAGTTAGCACCAAACAAAAGTTAGCTGGATTTTTGGTGTTTTTTCGGGCATTTTGGACGAAATTGAGAAGACAAAATGGTTTAAGCGTGACCCTGACTTGGATCGGTCAATCGCCTTGATCGAATCGAGTGGTAGGTTAGATTGTAGTGGAATCGATAGGTCGGTCCTCCGGTCCATCCGACCGAGTGGTCAGGGGTGTTTGAAGTTGACTAAGAAAGGTTATTGGTCATCCAGACAGAGTGGGTGTTTTGGCAGTGTAGGTGTTTAAGCCGGTGAATTTGTGAGCAAGGGTGAGTAAACCCAATAGGGTCGAGCCTGAACACTACTCGGTCGCCCAGGGCGAGTGAGTGGAGACGGTTTGGAAAGTTCGGTCGGTTGTAGGGGTCGATCGGAGCTTGGGCTTGGAAGAATTGGTAGGTAGTGGATGGTGATCGATCGACCGGTGTTGGGGGGCGGGCAGACGCTTGACACTTAGCTATCTTGAAGTTTGTAAGTTTCGATAACGCTAGTCGGTCGATAGCACTGGTCGACTGAGGTGTAGTAGTTGACAGGTTGTCGGGTAGGTTGACCGGTGTTAGAGGGCGAGCGACAGCTAGGTGTTGTACCCTCATTCGGTCGGTTACTCAGGGAGAGTGGTTCTTTGACAGTTGGAATTCTGAAGCTAGGTCCGAATCGGTCGGTCAAGCTGGGCGATTGGACCACTATGTCAGATACTGAATCGGCTAGCTCGAGTGAAATTTTGGCAGACGCTGGGGATGAATATGAGCGTGCCCCCACCATAGTGATGATGCCCAAAGAGGGCGTTCCGACTGGTGTACCGACTAGAGTTAGTGTAGCTACCCCAAGTACGAGTAAAGTTGGTCCAAGTGGCTCTGGCAGGCATGGGAAGAGTGGGGAAGACTACGAAGGGGCCGGTAGTCCATCTTCTTCTGGTAGCAGCTTTGAGGAAGAGCCGAGCCAACAGGGCAGTGGGATTTTGACCCGGGATTATCCGCCTGTGCTGAAGGATAGTGATGTGTGGCGCATCCGAACCTTGTATCACATTCCAAATTCTGTTGATATCCGAATGCCGCGGTCGTTCGAGCGGGTCGACTAGGAGGCAAAGGGTTGGATCAGTGTTTACGAGAAGTGGTTTCATGATAGGTTGAGGCTACCTGTCCCTCACCTCGTGTGGGAGGTATTGAACCACTTCACGATTGTCCCATCTCAGCTAATGCCGAATGCTTGGAGATTGCTGATGGCCTTGGAAGACCTCTGTGTTCAGAACCAAGTGAGGTTCGGGCTACACGAGCTGCTGTATTCGTACTTCTTGAAGGAGAACGATAAGGAGAAGGGTCAGTATCTATTGAACTTGAGGCATGATCGGTCTCACTTGGTGACCGACCTACGGTCCAGTGATAAGAACTGGAAGGACCAATACTTCTATCTTAGGGGTCAGGCTGTTTTTGGAGATAAGGGTCAAGGCGAGATTCCGATCAGCTGGCGAGCTACCGATGAGAACTCAGTTGTTTCTTTTGTACTTTTGTTTACTAAATCTTGATTGTGTTTTTTGTTTGCAGAGCTTGAGTTCAATCGGGCTGGGCAGAGCGGAGAGGGCTTGGACGTAGTGACCCAGAAAGTGTTAGCCATCCCATTAGAGCAGAGGGACTGGCGAGTAGTGCTAGCAGAGTCAAACTTGAGGACCAGCATTCTTTGGGCCGGAGTAGAGGCGATACAGAGAGGTACTCCCTTCCACTCGCTGAAGCAGACTTGGGATGTGCTTCTGAGTCGATACTGCAACCATATCATTTTTGGTGAGCCCGGCCTGAACCCACTAACCGTTGGAGAGTTTGCACTTGCAGAGTCACTGATGAAGAAGTTGATCTGGCTTGGGCCCCTCTAGGACTGGGCCTGGCCTTATCTCGTATCAAATAGGATTAATCTGGCTTGGGCCCCTCTAGGACTGGGCCTGGCCTTTTCTTTGCCGGTGGTCCTGTTTTCCTATTTGTTCCGAAGATGATTTTTGGCTCTAACATTTACCTAAAGCAAAGTCAAGCGAACACCTATTGGCATCCCTAAATGGCCTGTTTTCCACACTCTAGTAGAAGAAGAAATTGGAATCCCAACCCGTAGATTTGTTTGGCATTCCCTCCAGCCCTTTGACATCGCCCCTTTTTGCCTTGGAGAGATAGTAAATGTCTCCTCCCTAGGATGTCTTCAAGCTATACAAGTAAACGAGCTCGTCCACCGATGACTCGCCCAAGCCACCCTTCATGTAGGCAATGTACATGTCAACCATGCACAAATATGAGTTCGCTGTGAGCTGAAAAAGAGCAATGTTGAAGCGTTCTAAGACTTTAACGTTGAAGGGAGGAGGTGGCACTGATGCTTCACATTAAAGGAGCACCTTGGAGGTCGCCACCCAACCAGAATGCGGGGTGTTAGATGATCAACCTCCTATGAGGCAAAGGGGGCAGACAATCGCATGTTCATCCCTAATGCGATCTAAGTCCTCCTGAGAGATCGTAGAAGTAGAGTTTCTCTTAGCCCTAACTGCGGAGGTATGCCCCACGATTTCAAGCTCCGTTTCCTCGCCAGACTTATCGTTAATCCTCAATGAGTCCACTTCAACAACACTGAGGCGATTCCTATCCATCACCTTGGCATCGAGAACAACATCTAGAGTTCTCTCATCGAGCTCAACACGACCCATTGAGGAAGTCTACTTTATAGCTTTCCCCTTGTTCCTGCTGTTGGAGTCCATGACATTGTACTCGTCTTCAAATACCTGAAACATGAAAGAACAAGTGTTACGAGCTATCAAAGCTAAGACCACTAGCCTAACTACACTTGCTCTCAGTCCTAAGCACCAGGGGTGCACAAAGTGATCACCCGATGAAGAGCCACTTTAACCAACCCAATATCTGACAACGAACTCCGGCTACACACCTTTCCTGGTCTAAAACTTGCCAGACAAGAACCCCATTCAACCCACTTCTTTGCAAACACAACAACAAAACAAGCTAGGAAGGAGTTGAGGAGAGTGGAAACTTACTTGAGTCAGGAAAGTCGTTGGATTAACATCGAGAAATCAAGGACATGCGCGATCGAGATCAAGAGAGAATTTTTCTGGTTAGAAAAGAAGAGTTTGCAAAAGCCTTTTAGGTTTTTTGGCCTATATTGCTCTTATAGCAAGTCATTTCAAGCAGGAATTGATCACGACTGTTCGTTTGTGTGGAAGATCACCACCCTTCATTATCTCCTACGATCTCATCCGTTCATCTCCATCACATGGTAGCAATTCGTGGAAGAAGTACAGCCATCGTTTCGGAAAGAGCAATGTCATGTCCCGTCATTTCAATCGACATGCACATGCATCTTCTACCGCTTTAAATGCATAGCCAAGGATGACTAGTTGCAGTAAATGCATGATGTGCTTTCTCAAAAATTAGATTTTTGGAAATGGTAGAGGAATGCTAATTATCAAATTTCCACAAGTGTATCTCATCAGTGTTTGAGGGTTAAAAAATAATTTACCTTTTAAACTTTCTATGCACTGAGGAGGAAGCATTGAGCCCTTGAGATGTTGAAATGGATGTTGCAATTGTAAGGGGAAGAGAAAGCAAAGATTTCTTGTCTATAATGAAAATGAAAATCAACCTTCTTGAAAATTTAATAGACTTTTATTGTGCATGATTGGAGGATGATAACAGAGAAGTCATCACTCATTAACTAAAGAACTAATATCTGATGCAATTGGAGAATCATCACAGCTTATACTAATACATGGCAGTGTGATAAAGCCTTGGCTTAAGATAAGAATTTTTGTTTGATTTATTATTGCCCAAAGAAAAAGGACAAAGATGCCTAGTTTGAGTAGGCATGGCTTTGCTAAAATTAGACAAAGAAAGAAAGATTGTAATATATCTTTTACAACTAGCTGAAGAGAAACCTTCGTTGATGACATGGGTAATATATGGTTGGCCTTAAACGGTTCAGAATTGCAGTTGAAATATGACTTACAGCAATGCTTAAAAAGAACAACTTTCAGTAAAAAAATTCTACATATCTAATTCATTATTTGTTTATTGAACTCAAGAACTTTGATGCTAAACCGAAGAACTCTTACTAAAGGTTAGATATGTGGCCTCTGAATTGGCAGGATAAAGATCGTTTTCTGCTATAAGGTTCCTTTTGCTTTCAGAATTGACTGGGTAGAGATCATGAGCAGACGTGGTGGAAGAACCAAGTCCTGTTTTATCGGAAAAAAAGTCTGAGGATGAAACCCCACTTGAATTCTGCTCTTGCATCATCCGTTGAAGATGGCCTTTGAGTGATTTCAATCGCAAGTCATCACCATAGATGCTAGGATCTGAGATCACTTCATGAAAAATGGTTTGTGCTTCAAGCATACTAACCACTTCTGACATTGTAGGCCTCAATTCTGGAGATGCATTGGAACATAAAAGAGCTACTTTTATCATCCTTTCAGCCTCTTCCTTGTTAAAATCATGCTCCAGCTTTGGATCCACTATCTCCAACAAGTTCTTCTTTTGTTGCAAATCAAAAGCCTGCAAAACCCGAGAAAAAAGAATATATTAGTTAAACTTTTGAATCCAATGCATAGGAGTAGACATATCCAATTGAAACTTACCCAATCAAGAAGGCAAACACGCTCATTTTTCGCTCTATAACTTGCATTGTTCATCCCACTGACAATTTCCAAAGCAACAACTCCAAAACTATAAACATCAGCTTTTTCGGTCAGGTGACCCCAGAGTGCATATTCTGGAGCCATGTAACCTCTGGAATCAAATAAAATGTCAGAATAGTATACCTTGCTTGAAGCAACAAAATATTACACGTGTGATCAGAAATTATGTTGCAAAATCATTCTACTTACATGGTTCCAGCAACTCTAGTGCTAATGTGGGTGTTATCTTCTTCTTTGAGCTTAGCTAATCCAAAATCCGATATCTTAGCATTCAATTCCTTGTCTAGTAGCACATTTGTAGCTTTGATGTCTCTGTGAACTATCTTAAGAGTTGATTCATCATGGAGAAAAGCTAGACCTCTGGCTATGCCAATACATATTTTCTGTCTTGTTGTTCAGTCCAATTTCAAGGTAATTTCTGGACCTATATATTGATAATAAACAATATCTAGTCAAAAAAGTTTTAAAATTGAAAGCAATTCGCACATGCAAGTGCTATTAAAATACTGAAAAGCAAATGTCAGGATGTTACCAAAAAGTGCACGTGCAAGACAGTTATTCTCCATGTACTCATAAACCAGCAATAATTGATCTCCCTCGACACAGCATCCGTAAAGCTTTACAAGATTTGGGTGTTGCAAACCAGAAATTATCCCTATCTCATTCACAAACTCTCGATTTCCTTGCCTTGATTTAGAAGAAAGCATCTTCACGGCAATAAAAGTACCATCTGATAGCTGACCCTGTATCAAGAGATTTATAAATTATTTGTCAATGCCTATGAAGTATGATAAGAGTTGTATACGCAATCCAAAAAATGTTTACCTTATATACAGATCCAAAACCGCCTTCTCCAATCTTGTTTGCATACTCAAAATTGTTAGTGGCAGCTTTTAGTTGTCTGTAAGTGAAGGTACCTGTTTGCAGATCTAGCCCTTTAAGATCTGACCGGTAGCAATCAACAGATGGGAGGTTATTTTTGAGTCAAATATGAATGACTTGACGACTGAACCAAAAAAGATAATCTATAGGTTGAATCAAACAAAGACTTTAGCTGATACCTCGTTCTCTTGTGTTTTTACGTCCATAATTTTCCTGCTGGGGAATCCCACCATGCCAAAGGGCAATGATGAAACTGTTCGAGGGTCGTTTCCAACAAAAGAATCCCAAGACACAAAGAACAAGGAATAACACTGAAGTGGCCACTCCAATCACAATAGGCAAATTATTTGTTTTTGCAGGTTCTGAGATAAGTAAAACACATACCAAGAAGAAAGGCATAACAATTAGAAGAAACGGAATATAAATTGATACCATCCAAAAATCTGACCACTATAAAACAGTTGTTTCTCACCGTCACAATTAGTTGTGAAACCAGAAAATAACACCAAACAGCTCTGCTTATCAGCATATCATAATTAAGGTGGAGTGACGGAGAAGATTCTTATTAATGCAAAGTTCTTCATTAAATGATAATTGAATTGATTATACTTGAAAGACGGTATATATACCACTCAATCACCTTAACTCAAAACTTTATTAGTTTATCATATGTATATATACTGCATCGTTAATTTCTCTTCTCAAGCATATAATATTTATTCACATAAAATAGATGTTCATAAATCAAAATATATATAGCTCTGGTGAAAAACAAAAAAAAAATCTTGGCTATGTATACCGCTGAAAACTGAAACTAATTACCTGCGTCGGGAGGAAGCTGAGACTGAGCACATGGTAGAGGCTGAAAGCAAAATAAAGTAAAGAAACAAAGTGGAAGAAACCACTTTTTCATCAACACCACCATCTTTCAGGTTGGAGCTAGTTGTCGAAAATGCGGCCAGGGGGGAGATTAAGTACTGATAGAATTCATCCTCCTTGATTTTCTTAACTTTTTTAAGTATACAGAGAAGATGATGGAGACTTGTCCTCCAGTGAAGATGTGGAATAGAGAAGGGGTTTGATCAGGTCAGCCTAATGGAAGCCGCCAAATGAAGAATTTAATCGGATTTGTATGTCAGCCACTCAATATCTTGATCACTTTCATGGCTGTTGCGACTTACTTTGCAGTCTCTAAGTTGCAAATTGAGATTCTTAAAACGAGCATTTTAATAAATTAATGAAAATAAATGTTAATTATATGACATTGACATTGTATTGATATTTTTCTTCAAAACTTTGATGGACTAGAAATACCGTTACCCATATGTTTATCCTACTTGTTATACATTAATTATGCATAACCGCAGTGTCTCTAGTCACCATCACTGTAATCAATACTGCAACGACTTGTAGCAGCAGTATCCGAAATACTGCAACGTGCACTTGTCACTAATAGTTTGTGGTCGACAGCGAAAAGAAGAAAGAGTTAGAAGACACTTTCCCCCACTGAGGTTTGCCATAACTATACTCACCCAGAACAATTTTTAACAAAAATACCCTCACACAAGAAAAAAAAAAAAAAAAAAAAAAAAAACACACACACACACAAAAAGTAATCAAATATCTCGCTTCATTTATTAAGTATTACGTACTTCCTCTCTCTTTCTTCTGACTGATGCATTATTCAAGACTTTAAAACCTAGCCGAAGTGATACCCAACAAAGTGGATGGGTCTTGAGTTGATCGGTTGAACCGGTTTGACCGACGGATCAAACTGGTGACGTAGCATGTCCAAAGGTTTGAAATCTAGCAAAAACATTCCTAAAAATTACATATAAGTCTCTACAAGTTTGAAATCTTACAAAAACACCCTAAATTACACTGCCAACATCGACAACCCATGCCAAATAGGGCGTGTTTCTAGCATCGACAACACACCCCATCACTATGAAAACTCTCCCTTCAGTCTCCTGACCAAAACCCATCTCACCCCACCCTCGTTCACGTAGCCAATCGCCAACAATAGCAGGTTGCTGTCGCCGATTGATTTTTGTGATTTCTAGTTGTTTCACTCTAGGGTTTGCCATGAACAGTCAAATTGTAACTCGGCTCGATGAAGGTCCTGAGCCTTGATTGAACGCAGGGTCGGGCAGAGTTTTAAAACACTGATATTATTAGATAAATCAATCTCTCGCTTTATTTATTAAAAATCAAAACAATATTTCCTTTCTCTCACCTTATTTTTGTTTACATATTAATATAATGTTGTTTTCCTCATGTAATTTACTAAAAACTAATCATTTTTCCAGTTTGTTAATTAAAAACTAATAGGTTACTTTTGGCAAACCTTAAGGAGGAAAGTGTCCCTTAACTCTTAAGAAGAAAGCGATTGTTATGATTTTCATAATATAAGAGAGAATTAAAAATTAGAGTATAGTTTGAATTGAATTATATAATCATGGGAAGGTTTTGAGGAACTTTGAGCCATTGAACATTGTACGTGATTGACTCTACCACTTTAAACATCAAATAAGACTTTTTATTAACTTTACAAACCTCCTGAATATCAAAGGAAGAAGTAGGCCTGGACCTAGTTGATACTAAGAAATCACCCTGATTTCATTTTCAGGATATGGAATAAGTTTCATAACCATCTACCAAACATTTGGTTATTGTGAACGATAAAGACTTACAATATTCCAATGGAAACCAAGAGTTAGTTGACAAGGGTATGACCAGGTCAGCCAAATGAAGAATTTAATCATACTTTTTGGTTATCCAGGTACTCTTTATCAGTTAATGTTAGAGTTGGTAAACTCTATTCAACGTTGGATACCCATTTTTAAAGTGCAACAGAAGATTTTACCAAATTGATTAATTATTACCAAGTTAAGCATGAATCAAAAACCACAAGTGGTAAAGATAAAGCACACAAGCATATACATGGTTCGACTAAAACCACTCTTAGCTTACATCCATGGGACCTCATCTAGATCGAAACTAATCCACTATAACAATAAACATTACAACATATCACTCAGAGTTGATTTTAGCTACAACAAAGAGAACTCACTGTTCTACATTACACTAAACACCACCCTCTGAATCTCTAATGCTTCATTGCTTCTAGGATCACTCCACACTAGGAACACTCCCAAACAACGCTTGAGTTCCACCCAAGGTTCACTTGCCAAAGAACACCTCCAGCTTCCACAGCTTGAACTCCTTTCAAGCTCTTAGCGTAGGAACCAAGTTCCAGCAACAACAAACAATAAACAAAGACGAATAAAATTATGTAAGCATTAAACCATATATAGAACCTATCAAGAAATTAACTCTCTAAAGAATTTCAAAGCACAAACAAAATAATATCTAGGTTCAAAGCTGCAAGGAAGAAGAAGATGGGTTTAAATAATCATAATCCTTGCTTGACCAATCTCTTTAAGACAAGTGGCAGACAATCTCTTTCATTTTTTGTTGGGACCACAAACAAAAGCTCACTAACTTTGTAGGATCACAAGAGAAGAGGTGGACACCTATAAAGAGAAAACTCACACAAAAACCATGAAAGAGATAAAACTTGATGGACAAGATAATATAAGAAAATACTACATATGCAAAAAGAATCAAAGCACAAGTAAATACAATATCAAGGGTTAGCTTTACAAATGAGCAAGAATGAAGATGATATATGTCAATGTCATGCTCCCCAATTCTTGCCAAGTCAGCAAACATGGACTGACACATTTTGGTCCAAAAATGGAAAAGATTCCACCAATCTTTTGGGACCACAACCAAAAAAGGAAAAAGCTTATTTCCCTAGACCACAAGAGGATATTGGAACACATGTAGGTGGTCCTCATGACAACAAAAAAGACTGACAAAAAAATATCTCAATTGGTAAAGATAAAAACGTAATTTGTGCAAAGTGAGTTAAACATGCAATGTTAGCACAGAAGAACAGTATGCGCCCACACAAAGTAAAATATGAAATGAAATGCAACATGCATATGTCTGACTTCAATGTGCACACACACAATAGCTGTGCGCACAGACAACATAAGTTTGACAAAAAATATTCAACAATCTCCCCTTTTGTCAAACTTATGAACAAAACAACAAATTGATCACAAGATCAATACAAACCTGTCTCACAAAAACAACCAATCATTATCAAACTGAGAAAAGAAATAAACACAAACACAAAGGCAACAACAAAAAGTTCACCAACACTATGAACCAAGGCAAATATGAAACAAAAAACATCAAAGAAATTCAACAAGTAATTAGGCTAAAACAAACTCCCCTTTGTAAAAGTTCATCAAAGTTAATTAGTTCATATGTGCCAAAACATAAACATATAAAGAGTTCAAAATATGCAACAAAAGATATCACCATAAACACAACAACAACACTCCTCTCCCCTTCAAATTATTGCCCAAAGAAAAAGGACAAAGATGCCAGTTTGAGTAGGCATGGCTTTGCTAAAATTAGACAAAGAAAGAAAGATGTAATATATCTTTACAACTAGCTGAAGAGAAACCTTCGTTGATGACATGGGTAATATATGGTTGGCCTTAAACGGTTCAGAATTGCAGTTGAAATATGACTTACAGCAATGCTTAAAAGAACAACTTTCAGTAAAAAAATCTCTACATATCTAATTCATTATTTGTTTATTGAACTCAAGAACTTTGATGCTAAACCGAAGAACTCTACTAAAGGTTGATATGTGGCCTCTGAATTGGCAGGATAAAATCGTTTTCTGCTATAAGGTTCCTTTTGCTTTCAGAATTGACTGGGTAGAGATCATAGCAGACGTGGTGGAAGAAACAGTCCTGTTTTATCGGAAAAAAAGTCTGAGGTGAAACCCCACTTGAATTCTGCTCTTGCATCATCCGTTGAAGATGGCCTTTGAGTGATTTCAATCGCAAGTCATCACCATAGAGTCTAGGATCTGAGATAACTTCATGAAAATGGTGCTTCAAGCATACTAACCATTCTGACACTGTAGCCTCAATTCTGGAGATGCATTGGAACATAAAAGAGCTACTTTTATCATCCTTTCAGCCTCTTCCTTGTTAAAATCATGCTCCAGCTTTGGATCCACTATCCCCAAGTTCTTCTTTTGTTGCAAATCAAAAGCCTGCAAAACCCGAGAAAAAAGATATATTAGTTAAACTTTTGAATCCAATGCATAGGAGTAGACATATCCAATTGAACTTACCCAATCAAGAAGGCAAACACGCTCATTTTTCGCTCTATAACTTGCATTGTTCATCCACTGACAATTTCCAAAGCAACAACTCCAAAACTATAAACATCAGCTTTTTCGGTCAGGTGACCCCAGAGTGCATTTCTAGCCATGTAACCTCTGGAATCAAATAAAATGTCAGAATAGTATACCTGCTTGAAGCAACAAAATATTACACGTGTGATCAGAAATGTTGCAAAATCATTCTACTACATGGTTCCAGCAACTCTAGTGCTAATGTGGGTGTTATCTTCTTCTTGAGCTTAGCTAATCCAAAATCCGATATCTTAGCATTCAATTCCTTGTCTAGTAGCACATTTGTAGCTTTGATGTCTCTGTGAACTATCTAAGAGTTGATTCATCATGGAGAAAAGCTAGACCTCTGGCTATGCCAATACATATTTTCTGTCTTGTTGTCAGTCCAATTTCAAGGTAATTTCTGGACCTATATATTGATAATAACATATCTAGTCAAAAAAGTTTTAAAATTGAAAGCAATTCGACAAGCAAGTGCTATTAAAATACTGAAAAGCAAATGTCAGATGTTACCAAAAAGTGCACGTGCAAGCAGTTATTCTCCATGTACTCATAAACCCCATAATTGATCTCCCTCGACACAGCATCCGTAAGCTTACAAGATTTGGGTGTTGCAAACCAAAATTATCCCTATCTCATTCACAACTCTCGATTTCCTTGCCTTGATTTGAAGAAAGCATCTTCACGGCAATAAAAGTCCATCTGATAGCTGACCCTGTATCAAGAGATTTATAAATTATTTGTCAATGCCTATGAAGTATGATAAGAGTTGTATAGCAATAAAAATGTTTACCTTATATACAGATCCAAAACCGCCTTCTCCAATCTTTTTGCATACTCAAAATTGTTAGTGGCAG